GGGGGTTAGTCTGAACTTGTTCACTTCATAAGACCAGAACTCGTTCTGTGTACCATCCCACATGCCTTTACTTTTTCAGTTTCAGATCCTTTTTTGACAGGCATTCTTGTCTAACTATGTATTTCTCTTTACAGAAAATATTTGAATGATGAATTGTAATTGTTTCTAGTCCACAGCGATATGTTTTAATTCAGAATCAGTTATTAAATACACAACATGCGGAGGAAATGTTTTTTTCAAGGGCATATCTACACTGAAAGTTTAGGCGTATCATGCAATATTCGAGTTATTCAGCTACAAATGTATTTAAATAAATATCTGATATATTAAATGAAATTGAAAATTTGTTTCCAGAAAGATTCTCGAGTAACGTACGCTGTTTTCTTTGTGATTAAATGCAAGAATTTTCAAAATGACAAAATTTCATCATGTGCTCAACAACTATAAAAATTATTATAGTTTTGATTTATTCCTTTTATTTGGCATTTTTGAAATAAATCATTGTAACTCCTCTGACAATAAGCTATAAACTTATAAGAGTTTGAGTTTCATACTTTAGTCTCTAATAGCGCCACACTAACAATTTTTTATGTGAGGTGTTTTCAAGATTTTACAAAATGTCGAAAAACTTGCAAAGTTTCTGAAAGATACATGGAAGATCGATCAAGGATTCTTCGTTCACTTTTTTCGAGCTGAAGAATTTCAAAAATGATCTAATCTTTCGGTTACTAAACCGACAATATCAGCAACATAAGTTGTCTACAATATCTTTAGAATTTCCGAAAATACCAATCCGATTTCTGGTAGTAATATAAAGGTATTCTAAAATACTCATAGATTATAAAAGTCCCCATTTTTCTAAAAACTTCGGAAGCCAAAAATTTATCTGCAATAATGATTTACCTTACTCCAACACTTATAGGCTTGCTCGAGGGTTGTATAAATAGTATGGTTTTCCTACGACACATTTTTTAGTGCGCGCTCAATTGTATACAATATATTATGATTTCCATTTTTTAAATGTGAATACCGACGCCAGATATAATTAACAATCGCACCGATTCACTTAGAACCTCTCAAAAGTGTCTGCATGTATTCATCATAATGCAAGCATGTTCTACGCACGACTAAACTTTAGAAAACATGTCAGTCGTTTGGCAACAAACGTCAATGCTTTTTGCTATGTCATTTTGTTAGATGACAATCATTCTTAGGTGTTTCTATATAATCTTGCTCTATGTGAGAGCAGGAGCGCATAAAATATTATTAAAGCTCAACAAAACAAATAGAAAATCTATTAAAATAAGATAGTTGTGTTTACATACTAAGTCATTACTGATTAACACTCAAGATGCAAATAGATATAAAACAAACCATTGGCGATGCCAATAACACTCAACAAAATACTTCTGTTCGACTAATTAATGAATTTGTGAGATTTAATATTTTACTTGGATTTGGAGTGCCATCGTTCATTTGTTATATTTTCATCATTATTTACATGCTCACTCACAAAACTCATCGTTCAGCACCTAATAATTATTGTCTTCTCATTATCTTAATTCTTCAGTTTTCTTGTAACATATTGGATATTCCATCACAGATGTATTTTTATTGGGAAGGCAGAGTACTTATTGAGAGTGGTATCTATTGCTATATGTGGCAATTTATCGATTATTGTACTTGGACAGTCAACCTGATGTTACTGGCATGGGCTTCATTTGAACGGCATATTCTGATTTTTCATGAACGGCTTCTTCGTTCAAAACGGGGAAATATATGTTTGCATTATGCACCACCTTTTATAATTATTAGCTATGGCATATGTTACTATATCTATGGCTTTGCTTTTTATAGATGCAAAAATCCATTTCTATTTCAAAAGATTTTTTGCAATGGTCCCTGTTACTCAAATTACCAATCTATGATGTTGTGGAACAGAGTGGTTAATTATGTGCTTCCTTCAATATGTACTGCTATATTTAGTGTTGCACTTTTAGTTCGTGTAATATACTCGAAACGTCGTCTTCAGCAAGCGTTTAGCTGGCGAAAGTACAGTAAAATGACTTATCAAATTGTATCTATATCATTTCTCAGTATTGCAACTATCTTGCCGTATAGTATCAGCGGCTTCTTGAACCATGTTCGTCCCTATACTATACCAAGTCAGATAGGAACTCTTTTCGCATTCATCGCTTTTCTAGAACCTCTATGTGTGCCATTTGTATATTTGACGTCAATATCAGAAATCTGGACATTAATTAAAACAAAAATCCATCGTGCAACTACTCGACAAACGGTTCCAATGGTCTTCACAAAAAAATAAACACGATTTAGCTCGTAATTGTATTTTTGATGAAATTTGCTAATGTAATAATAAATGATGATATTCTATTTTCTCCTTCTTGAAAGAGTCTCGAAGAATTCTATAAAAACGGACTACTGTCGGATTTTATGGACATTTTGTGTCCGACATCTTTTTATATGCTTTGTTTCCAAGATTTTCATGACCATATTGATTCTAGCTCATCAAATATATCTTAGTTGTTCCGTGTAAGACAGCCCATTCTCCAATAAAACGATGGCATGTTCTCAAACTTTTGTTCTAGATAATGCAATTGACAGGCTACAATTTGGTATGATTTGAGTTAAGATGATAGTGAAAATCTCTGAAACAAGATATTTAAAAAAATGTCGGTCACAAGATGACCATGAGGAGAAGTTACAACCTCAATGAATCTTATGTGGATAGATGACTTCAAGATTGCTCTATTCGATAATGAAAACCGCAGCTCGATAGTTTGATGTGGTGAACGCTTATTCAAAAATTCATGGGAAAGGAACATTTTATACCTAGTTTTTTTTTAATTATGCTGAATTTTATGCGTGACATCCATGATTTTTTTGGGAGATTTTTTACAATTTTTGGTGGACGCTTACGAATGTATGCAACGGACAAGATAATGATAACAAACAGAGAAAGAATACAAAGAAATGAAAACGAACAGAATGAAAATCGAAATCGAGCCAATGATGACGACGTAGCGTGCATCGTTGCTTTTCTTTTGTTTATTCTTCCGATGCCATATATCTTGACACCGAATGCACCATGCCGAGGGAAGGGATCGAACCTTCTGATCTCTGACTGTAATCAGATGCGTAGAACCACTACGCAATCCCCGGCTATTTCATACATAGTTGAATTTGAAGTGCCGTGTAGTCTTGATCGTTATCTATTTCGATAGCTTCAAATGGGTTGTCCTAGGAAGAATTATTTTCATGAATATCATTCATATGACGGCGTCAGCCAAAAGAATTTCTACATTCAGTTACGAGCAGAAACACAACGAGCAAGTATCGCATGCTTCAAGTTGTTGAAAGATGTGGACTTCGACAGTAGGTCGGCACTTTTTGAGTTAGTCGTGATTCGAATATGTTTTGCTATTGGTAGATTCTTTTCTTGAAAGTAGCTGCGATTATATAGGAAGCCAAAAGTGTAAGAACTTTCTTGTTTCACACCGAGTAACAACTGCCACTCTTCTCACTGTGTGGTATATTGAACAGAAGCTGCCTTTTTTCTCGATACTATTCTATTCTGACTAGCTAGATGCCGATTAAAACATTGAATAAGCTTGCAAACTGAGACAATTCTCAGTCCATATAATCTTTTCCCCGTTACGCCCCTAGTGGCCATTGTCTATGGTCAACAAGAGCCTGATACCGATCGTGGTGCTTGGAACCGTCTCCTAGGGTTTGCAGTAAGTCTGTTTCATACAGGTGTATTGGCTATCAGGCTAGCCATTCTTTAATGCTTCACAGTTAGAAATAGTTTTATTTCCACTTGCGTCTTTTTCTACTTTTGCGTCGGACAGGATGGATACGATTGACGTAAACGGTCACATACGACGCCGCAAACGACCCTATAATGTCGTATGTTAATCATATTCACAAAAGCTCCTAATTAGTGAGAAATATTCCGCGAACTCTGATTATTTGCATATGAAATTTTCCTACAAGAAAATTCGTTCATTGAGTATGTGGATGAGGGTGTAGGTGTGGTTGTTATTAAATAGTACAATTACATCCACACCGACACGCACACCCACACTCATACCAAAAACCCGCACCCACATCCAAAATTCTAATCAACACTTTTATTACAACAGATGAATCCGTCTTTGGGTGTGGGTGTGCGTATGAGTTGAAAAAAGGATTACACGCACACCCACACCCACATCTCACACCCACCCACACACACACCCACACCCACATCTCACACCCACCCACACACACACCCACACCCGTCTCCACAGTTTCTTTCGACTCAAAATTCGCTTCACAAAACTTTGCGGATGATAGGACCGCAGCGAGATTTCACATAAGTCTCCGGGACGAAAGAAAGCTTGAAGATCAATGAAGTTTTTCCTGTATTCATAGCTCATTAGGCCCTACAAGATGTACTATATATTAGCTGATTTCAAGATGTCATGTATACTAGTGCCTGTGGTCCCCCACATCTTTTTTGAAAATTCTTTAGTATTTTTAATTTTTGACAGTGTTGTACAACTTTTTTCGTATTTTTAATATCATCAATCGATAGAACGTGAAAAACTAGGGTGGGTGTGGGGTGTGGGTGTGGGTATGCATGGATAGTAGATCATCCCCATCTCCACCCTCAACACACAGCCACACCCACCCTGTTGGATTATTTGTTATCTATGTTAATGTTTTACTAAAACGCTCATTAAAAACATTTAAAACGCTAACTAGTTGTGTAAAAATATTTCATTATCTACTAAATTTTTTGAGGGGTGTGGGTGGTTGTCTTCAGTTCAACCACACCCACCCACACCCAAATTAGCAGAAACGTACGCAATCTTGAAGAGCAGCGTTGTCGACATCTTTTCTCGCTGTGTTGAGTATCAGAGTGATTTATTTAACTAATACTAACAAGAGTGTCAAGCACAAATTAAAGGATGAACCTGGCAGACACATTGATGTAGTTCTCCTCGAATAGTTCATGACTCAACGAGCAAAGCATATCCCAATATCAGACCCATTATTGCAAGAGAAAGCATGGCAAATTGCCAAAGAGTTCGAAAAAAATTGAAAAACTCTCAAAAGTAGACACTTTGAAAGGGTCCTTTAGGTGTGGACTATAAAAAGGTTATAGTGTAATATTTTTTCATACATCTGTATTATTCTTTAAATATTTCAAAATGAAAATATCTCGTATTTTTTTTGTTTTATAAGCGTACAAAGTACACAATGTCTCCTTTATAAGATCGAGTTTTATTAAAACTATGTTAATATTTATTACAAAAAGTAATCAATGATTTTCGTTGTAAGCATCTATATTTTTACATCGAATTAAAGCTGAAAAAGCATGACGAAATTTTTTACCAGTTATATAATATATAAAAAATCCAAATGTATTCTTAATAAAAGTTATAGAAAAACCTATCGAAAAAATCAAATTAACAATACCAATATATAGACATGTTTCTGGTGGATTATAATTTATATAAATTTGAAAGAAAAGTGTTGGAAATATTGTTATTGGAAAAAGTAAATCAAGACATATTAAAGTTTTTGCTACTGAATGTAAATGATCATTTTGTGATGATGCAGATGATTTTGATCCACGTCGTTCTTCATTATCAAGAATACCATTTCTAGTCGAACGAATATTACGAAGAATAAGTATACAACAAATAATCATAATTAAAATTGGAAGAACACCAAATAAGATTAGATTATAAATAGGCCAAATTCTTTTAAGAAAATAGTGATAATTTCTATTCGATGATTCACAATGATAATCAAAACTATCCAAAAAACATTGATTTTTTGGTAAAATTTCATTAATAATTGGTTTAGTAAAAAATATAAGAAAATGACAATTAGCAATAAAACAAAATATAATTAAAATAATACAAATTATTTTTGCTGAATGTTGACGACATAAAATTGATTTTAATGATGATTCTGTAAGATATAAACAACGATCAATATTAATCATTACAATAAGCCAAATAAATAGATAACGAAAAAAATAAGTAAGAAAAAACATAAATTTACATGTTATAGGTAGAAGATTTTTTATCATTATTTCATTATTAATTAAAAATGGTATAAGATAATGATATTTTATATCAAAAATAATTATTAAAATATTTATAATACATAAGAAAGTAAAATAAATATATATAGATAATCGATTTGCCCAATGAATAAATATAATTAGTGCAAAAATATTACCTAATATACCAATAGTTATAAATCCTATCGCCCAAATACGATAAATCCAATGAGATACATTTGTTAATTTTAAATATTTATCAAAATCAATAGGTAAACTATCATTGACGAACATAACTAAATGTCTTTTAAAGTCACCTATATTAGTTCCTCGATTGCAGAAAGAAAAAGCAGTTATATATACACCGCTTTACCTATGTTAAAAGATAGTATATATATGCTATTTAACAACTTTCAGTACTGTAAAGCAAGTCAAAAAGTATTGGTAGTAGTCATAAAAGGCTTTTTCGAGAATGTAAAAGTCACAGACAATATATATAATATCAAATATTTATTTAGCTTATTTGGATTAAAAAAAGCGAACAATGTTTTTTGAAATAATCTACGTTTAAGAGCATGATATATATGTATATGCTCATATGAATAAAATGGAGTTTATTTTTCAACAATATAAACTATCGAATCGATGAAAACATTAAGTACAGATAGTAAATCGTATCAACAATATTAAAAGGATATGGGCTGGGATGACCATTTTCTGGCCCAAGATTTTTTTCACGTTTATCTATCTGAAAGGTATCAGGAGGTTACCAGAAGTGTTTCCTATGACTTATTTTCGCACCATTTCGAAGTGAAGTTTTTGACCCCTGGGGTACCTCCAGGATTCTAAAACAATCTATTTTCTCAGATATCCTTAAAAGTATATCAATTCTATGCAATTTTGCGCACCGATTACGAATATCATATTTATATTTCAATTGAACTAACAAGGGAACCGTTCCAATTGATTCACGTCGATTTTGCTCACATATTTTGCCCATATGTAGGAGTCAGTATGCTAAGAAAAAGCCTAAGAGGATTTGAGCCCATGGTGCTTCTTTCGAAGGTTATAGCCATTTTACTGATTTTTCGGCCTATAGCAAGGTATTTACAAAAAATTCGAATGATAAAATTCTGACTTGAAATTTTGCCCATATGTAGCTCTCATGGTTCTTAATGTATGCTAAAATTTTCAGCAAAAATGAATGTCCCATTGCCGAGATA